GTCATGGTTCCCTGGCAGCGACTCTCCCCCTCTCACCCGCTATCGCAGATGGAGAATGGAGAATGGAGATCGGAGGAGGCCCCCGCCGCCAAAGCGCAGCGAGTGCTCAATTTGAAAAGCAAAGCTCAAATGGCATTATCACAGCATGCGCCAAGAGAGTGTACGAGCCACCAGAGCATGCCACAGCCACAGCCACAGCCACAGCCTTCTTGCGGGTTGGGTATAGGTCTGTGCCACCCGCATTTGGGTCTCGGGTTTTGCAACCCTCCCTTGCAATTGCGCAATTTCTTTTGCGTCGTCGTCGTCGTGTGTGTTCCCCATCGATAAGGTTAACGGCAAGGAAAACTGATGGAAAACTGCCCTCGAGGGCGATTTCGTTTAGAGATATTTCAATCAGGGCCCTGATAAATGGGAAAGAAACGTTTAACGCATTGAAAGAGGCTCAGTCGAGGGTTTACTCGTTAGTCAACACTGTTTTTGTGGGAAGGTACTTTAACCGCTGTTCCACTGCTCCAAATTTCCTATTCCTTTCGTTTGTTTCTGGTATGAAACGTGAAAGTATCAAGAATGTACCGAATTTATCGGTAAGATACGGCTTCGCAGAGAGTTCAAAAGGTTTTCTTTAATCACTGTTCCACTGTTGTTCCAAATCTCTGAAAAAACACATTGAATGTTCCCTTCTTTCAGAGCCTAAAACGTTTTATACTCTCTGATTTTCCAACAATAGATAGAACACGTCACCGTCACTCCTTTAACCTTTTTCTTCCAACAACAGGAAGGCACTTTTCTTGCGTTCTTGATAAAGTTGTTTCTCGTCCCGCCCCCCTGCCCCTGCCCTGCATTCAAAAGTGCAGTTTCACACTTGATCACGTGATGCAAAAGTTTACCCTGCATTGCCCTTTTGTATTTCGCCACTCTTTAATGGCCGGGCCTTGTGCCAGGCGGTGATTAAGATCCGACCCACATAGATTAGGCCCCCACACACACACACAGAGAGAGGGAAAGAGAGAAAGAGAAAGAGGGGGAGGCGGGAACACACTTGTGCTAATAAATCAGCGTTGTCGCTGGTTCTGTTCTGTTCTATTTGTTGGAACACAGAACACATCACCATTTACCAATATATAATCGCACAGTCGTACATCTGAGAACGACACAGAATGGAAATGGCCCATTTAGAATAGCGCCAAACGGGCAATTACCCGATAGACCCAGAGCCAAAAGCACCAAAGCGTTGAACAAATCAATAACACAACCAGGCAATAGGCACAATTCTTATTATACAATACAATTTAGTGTAGAAGGAGGACATCCCCCGCCCCCCGAAAGCAGGCACGCAACTCCAGGACCCCATCCGTAACCATTTTAATTCTCATTTCTGGCTCGTTTTTGGGCACGGGCTCTGGGATATTATACAACATTCGACTACGACGTTGTCGTAGAGCCCTCAAACAACAAAACAAACTGGTAACACATTTAACAACATCCAAGTTTCGGGTACTTTTATGCATATATTTACACTCGAAAAATGCACAAAAAAAAAAGAAGAAAAAGAAAATTAAAGCAAATGAGACTCATGTAAAGAGGTAAAGAGCGATCAATACCAATGTTCAACCACGAGTAGTGCTCGAATGCTTCGCTGCACAAACTTCCCATAATCGAACGGACACATTCGTTTCCTTGGTTCCTAAGGGAATTGTGGTATAGAAACGTTTTGCATCGAATTGCCTTTCAACTTACTCATTTTCAAGTCACTCCCAAAACTGAAACCCCATTTTCCCCCAGGTGTATCGTTATTTTTTCTGCCAGTGTATAATTATTTGTTGTTTAACAACTTTTATTCGTAATTGAAAATGTATAAAAGTTGTGTGGGTTTTACTTTGGCCAGAGTTCTGCGTTCCTGTTTCTTTATTTGCCTTTCCTTTTGTTGAATTATTGAATAGGGCAGGGCGTGTTGTATGCACCGGCGCGGTGGCAGGGAGGGCAGGGCAGGGCAACGGGAACGCGACGACTGCGCTACCCCTGGAATAATCTGAATAAGTCAGCGCCTCAGGACGACGATGACGACGACGACGACGACGAGGTCTCGGTTCAACTTAAAGTTTTAATGCCGCCACCGCCGCTTAACCGCAATTAAACGTTGTGTGTGTTTGCTCTGTGCCCCAGTCGTTTGTCGAGCCGCCATTGAATATAATTTTCGGGGCCCTGTCATTTGTCTTGCCTGCCACCCTGATGGCCCTGACGACCGACCGACCGACGAGGACCGGCGACCCCTTGTGCAAATTAGAAATGTCAGCTTTTGACACCAAAATTGCGCTGCCCTGCCGCCCCGAGGGCAGATTTTTGGGTACCCCCCGAGTTTCTTCAATTTCTTTTATCGGATTTACATGTGCCCTCGCATTTAACCGTTTTAAGCGGTTTTTATTGCACAGAACAGCTGCCGTCGGATCGCGGGGTGGGGGGGGAGCATTATATAATGTTTTGTTCCATTCCCGTTTTCATGGCATACCATTTTCGGGGCTGGCTCTCGAATTCCATGCTGGTTGTGGCAGACAAATGATTCAATAATTCTCTTGACTTCTAATGGCACCATAATACGTCGGAACCTGAGACGCGGACGCAGACGCAGACCCGCTATCAGATTTCCACACAACCCGTGACTAATAGTGGTATATATTTTCCTCGTTTTCTTACGGTTTTAGGCACACTTTCCCTACCAGTCCATTACGAAGGTTCGACGGTTCGGGGGCTGCGACTGGGACTGGGACTGGGACTGGGGCGTTAATTAGTCAAAGTTTTCACTTGGAAATTACTGAAATGTCTACTCCGTTCAGCTAAATTGTGGCCTGTTCGGCCCGTTCGTTCCTACCACTCGCTTATATGTGTACCATCTGTAGCTGTATCTGTATCTGTATCTGTATATCTATTATAATAAACTTTATGGCCATTTTGTGACCGAAACATAAAAAAAGTTTTAGTCGCAAAAATTTGCATGGCACATTTGGGCGTTGAATAGACAGCGAAAAATAAAAAAAAAAAATAAAATATAAAAAATATATGTATGTAAAACGGCTACGGTTTTTGGGTGAGGCGCTCTGCATAATGATGGGAATTCGCTTTTGACGAGACCCGAGACTGAGGACTGAGGGAAATATACGAGAATTATGGGGTTATTAGAAGTAGCCGAAATGGAAGATCGATTTGAGTGGATGTGCAGCCCACGCGGACAACTTTTTCTTGAAATTTATTGCAATATACTTTTTAGATTGAAAATGTGTCCCGTTTTGGAAAAGAATTTTTGTTAGTCTCAAGCCGGATGAAAATCTTAGAAGTAGAAACTACAGAGTCTTGTCCTTGTCCATAGACATAGATATCCTGCCAGAGAAAGCCGTTTAAAGATTTCTTGTTTCATTTCCACAAGTTCCAAATATCAGATGGACGGTTAAACGAAAGTTAAACTATTCCCAAAGAAAAACTTTCAAACCTTTCTTCATATGTTTTCCATTTCATTCCTCGTTTTTTTTTTGCTCCATTCCCCTTCATTCCTAACCTCATACCCTCGACGCTTTAATTGTTGGATAATTCGGGCATTGCGCCCACTTAACTCCTCCCTTCTTTTTTGGCCGCCTTGGCTGACCAAAACACACTCGTCAGGTGACTGCCACAAATTGCTGCAAGTACATTTCGTATATATTTTAATTTCTTTTGGCCGGCTTTTACGATTGCGCTGTTTCTTCGGCCGGAGGGCAGGCAAAACGAAACAAAAAGTGGAAATTGGCACAAGGAAAGTGTGAAAAGCAAATGAAACATAGTTTTTTTTTCTGCACGTGGAGTGTGTGGCAACTGAAACAAAACTATGGCAAATCGTTGACTTTTTGTTGCTATGGTTTATGGACGGACAGGTTGGGCCACAGGCCCCCAGTCGCCCAGTCCCCCAGGCCCTGTCATGAGTCGTCAAGTGGTAGGATAGAAACGAGGCAGGCCCGGTCATGTGCTAAATATCAAAGGCCGTGGGCCCATTATATTTTATGGGGCGGCACAGCAGCAGTGGCCAAGCCGGCGGGTGGGGGGGGGTGGTAGGCTGGCTTCGTTTCAAGGTGAGGTCGTGGCTGCCAAGTCGGATGTTTCCTCTCGACCTTCGATGGGGGCCTCCCACCTGTCACGCCCCACGCTTCACACTTTCACCTTTCAAGAAGTGTCTTGGCATTTAAGCTAACAATTTGGCAAGGCGCTGGGCTTTAGATCTGATTGCTTATACTTTAAGACGTTCTACTATTAAAGTGAACATTTCTGCTTGACTTACACCTGAATTCCATTTTGATTCGTGCCTAACGTTGAATGTTTTATTACTGCATTCCACTCTGTTCCTAACCTCACATTTATCAACCTTCAAACGTTGGACGCGTCGAAGCGTGCAACCAAATTCCTTGAATTTCTTCTCCTCAACAGCTGTTTTCGTTTCTAACCTCTTTCTTAGTCGTTCCATTCTATTTTGCTCCTAACCATGAATATTACTATTTCTCTCAATCAGCATCCTTTATTTCCCTGTGTTCACTTTCATATATTTGGTCCATTCCACGCTGTTCCTAGCCACGCACTCCTTCTATTAGAACAATTCACTCTCTCCTATCTCAAAATATCATGACACTTGGCCATATTTCTGCCAAGTACTTCCCCCAAGCCCTTGGCTTTACATCTCTTTGTAGTTGCAAGAGCATGTTCCTCCGATTGAAGTGCCCTCAATTTGCCGAAATGCAAATGTGGTGGTCAATGCGCTCCAATTGGCAGCGAAGCGTGGCCAAGTTGGTGCACAGCACGCCATGCCTCCCACTCCTACTCCACCTCCTCCTCCCACTCCTACTCCTCCTCCAGTGGTGCAACAGATTTTAATTAAATCCAATTACCGACCAACGAAGAAACAATATCAGCTCCTCCGACATGAAGCCTGGCCCATAACTAATCTTTCAATATCTCGTTTCTATCTTTTCTCCTCCGCCACACAGAGATCCGCCATCAGCAGTTCCGCCTTAGCATGTCGCGCGACTACGAGCTGAATGGCGTTGCGCAAGACGATCCCAAACTCATTGCATTCCTGCGCCATTTCGAAATGGGCAAATATATGGGCAAGCCATCGGTCAAGGCAGCTGCGGCGGCGGCACAGCCCAACACGGGACTGGGCGTTGGAGTACCACCAGCAGCAGCAGCAGCAGCAGCAGCAGCAGCTGGAGGATCCCTCAGTTCCTATGGCAACAGCAGCGGCAGCACAGCCGATCAGTTGGCCCACTATGTGGCCGATCTGTTGGGCGGAAAGATGGACGGAGCTGTGATCCAGTCGCTGAGCGGTCCGCTGGCCCATCTGATCACAGCGCCCTGGCTGAACGAGCATCTCAATTGGATGGGAGTGCTGGTGGAGCCGGACCCTCGCTGGTACTTCACGTTGCGCAACCAGAATGCGCAACGGGCGCGCATGCAGGTGGTGCAGGCATGTGTCTCTCCCAACACCTATCCCAAAGAGGTAAGCCCACGAAACTCGAAAGATAATGAAGATTTGAAGCCAACTATTTCGTTTGCGTTCAGATTACCATACACAACGAGGATGTGCGCATCAACAGTCTGCACGACGAGGAGACCTCGTGGTTCAATTCGCGTGTCAAATGCTTTCCGCTCTACACAATCATGCTGGCATGTGAGCGCACCGAATACGATTTGCTCAGTCTGGGCGTGCAGGGGCATGAGCTGGAGGTAAGTGAACCCGAAATAATTGTAACACTTTCACTAAACATCTCCTCTTTCTTTTTTGGGCTGTACAGATCTTGCAGACGCTGCCCTTTGACAAGGTGAAAATCCAAGTGATATCGATCCATCTGCTGGAGGATCACGAGGATGTGCACGACTATGTGCTGGACATAACCAGGTTCCTGGCGAGCAAATCCTACAAGCTGCAGCGTCGAATGGGACGCAACTACTTCTATCAGCGTCTGAATGTCGGTGCCACGCGTACGCGCAAGAAAGACATCCTCCTGCTAAAGACGCCCTAGACGCTCCTCAAGAAACGATCATCGACATCGATCCATCAACCCACGAACAACGACTTAGGGCCCGAATTGTTAGAGAAATCCGTGTAGAAGAGAAGTCCCGGCTAAACTTTATGTTCTAATGATAATTATTACAATACCGTACGCTACACTATATATACTATATACTATATATATATATATATATATACAGATATATACATGTTGAATATGATTATGTACACGCTAAAAAACATACATATATATACTGTATACCGATTATGATATGTAGGATTCTTAGTTTTTGTAAAACTCAAATCTCTCTTTATTCTTTCCGATTTCTTGATGTTATTATTTCATTTATTATTTTGTCGAAATTTGTTTATTACTATAAATATATATATATACCTTATACTATATATATATATATATGCATATATAACGTATTATGATTTGCTATAAGCTATGCTAAATGAATGTTAGGCCTAAGCCGTCGTGTGTGGCAGCCAGCAGCATGCCCAGCCCCAGCCCCAGCCCACTTTCGATGTATAAATTATAAATTGCAAGGGGCCCTGGTTCTGCTATTAGTCGTAGTCCTCCCTATAACACTATCCATCTATCTATACCCTTACCTATACCTATATGCAAGTCTATATGTTATATCGAATGCTTTATCTAGTAATCCCTAAGTGAACTACTACTAAGCGCCCGAAACGACGACGATCGATGAATGATGAATGATGAATGAGAAAAGCGCAGACTACACAACACAACATTTAAATTATATTAAATTATTGAACCAAAACGAAGCACATCCATACACACACACACACACACACACCAACACAACCATTGTACACACCAACAGACACACACACACACCACACACCACACACCACACAAACATAAGCGCAAGCGAATAAATATATAGAAAAAACTCATTTGCAAAAATCTGCTTTCAAACTCATCTCATACTCATAGTTAAAACATAAGAGAACCCACAAACACATAAAAATATTAAATTAAAGAGAATCGAAACTATAGGCAGCATTCATACATACACACACACACACATACACTCATGCACATTTTATATGTACTAGAAAATAAATCAATAACTAAATAAATAAATGTAAATGTAGCAACGATGCAACGATGATTAAATGTAAAAACCAATTCGTATTTCAATTACATTTTAGTAATTATGATGTATTATTATTTTTTATACATGAATGCACACTGAAATATATACAGAGAGAGAGAGAGTCAAATATGCTACGGTGTGAACTCGTTACACCTCGCCTTAAACCCCCCACACACACACACACCTCCAAGAAAGAAAGAGAAACTCCCATAAACAGAGACACAGACACGCACCACACACAGAAAGATTGACGTAGAGAATCAGTGCCTTCGACTTAGACTTGAATAAAAGAAACCAAAATCTAAGCATACTCATAGAAACTCAATTGAAATTGTTGTACATATAGGAGAGCACCACATAAATACATAAATACATAAACACATACTCGCAGCAGCAGTCCCCAGAACAAAACACTAACTAGTTGCCGTCTTGTTAAACTTGCCTTACCCCTACCCTTACCCGAATGGGAGGGAGGAGAGGATCCAGAGGATGGACGATCCAGCCCGAGAAGTCTTTAACCAAAACCAAACTCAAATCCGTCACAAATCGATCGCTATGCGAGATACGAATTAACAATAGACAAATACAAAACACAAACACACATCACACACCACACCCTTAAATTTTAAGTACAGTGCTAATGTCTGTTTTGTTTTTAAGACTAATTCTACAAATTTAGTTGTATCTTGTGTAAATTAGCGTTTAAACCAAATTTTAAGTAGGCTATTATGATAACTCCTTTTGATTTGGTCCTGTCCACCCCCCATGCCACATTGCATCACCCCCTATACCCACACAAACACACACATACACAAGAAAAAGGCTAACTCATTGCTAAGCTCGAGATCATCTAGAAATTGTATTTAAAGCGAGCGATAAACGTAAGAGAACAAAAACAATTTATAGTTAAAATACAAAATAAAGAGTACACAAAAATTATGAAAAATTCATCGACTTTTGGTTTTGACACATCAATCAATCAATCAATCCCCTTCAATCACTTTCAGTTCACATTTCAATCCATACCCATACCGAAATACTATGATATATCTATGGAATATACCCCAAAACAATTGTTTATCTTATGAAATTGACTTGAAAAAACTGTTGGAATACACAGAGATACGAGTACATATTCTAAACTACTAGCCTAAAGGAAAAACCGATCAAAATCGATCAAAACTGATCAAAACTGATCAAAACTGATCAAAACCGATCGAAATTGAATGCGAATGGAAATTTTGACTGCATCTTTGCCAGTAAACCTTATTCTATATATAGTTAGATATTTGCTAACAAATTGATTGAAAAAGCCGGCAAACTACTATGAAAAACCAACTAAAGAATACCAAACAAAATTTACACAAATTCAATGAATGAAATAAAGATTTACATAAAATGTAAAAAATACAAAATCAAGATTGTTTGATGTGGAGTTGTGGGGGTACATTTAAAATAGGACCTAAAGAGTTTCAAAAATCACAGAATTATGGGAAGGGGCCTCTGAGATTAAACCTGTATTCAAACTTTTGAAAGATCTTTAAACTTACAATTAAAATATTCTTGTAATAGGATAAATAGGTGTAAAGTAGCGCTGCAGTACCTCCATTTAGGAATGCGGCAGGTGATTAAGTACATTTCACTCATAACTTCGTTATTATAACAAAAAGTCTTATACGTAGTCTGCCCTATAAGTCTGTAGCCTAATGATTTGATTGGTTTTCAAAATATTCTCCAACATGCATCCGCTGAAACCAATCTTTAAAGCAATTTTTGCACTTATCTTAAACGATTGTTGTGTGGCCAAATGTAAAATTATGCTGTATCTGTATTGAATGTATCTTGGTCCATTTAATGCCCAAAGATGCATCTATCTCATGGTATGGCATATGACATAGCCAATAGCCAGTGGCCAATCCAACACAGCGAACCAAGTTGAATCCACATAAACAATCATAAGACAACATTTCAAACATATTCGAAAAACTCGAGGCAATCTTATAAATAGAAGAGGCGATTTTAACCTAGCGATTTTAACAGATTTGATTTTGCGTCGATTTCGATTCTGTCAGCTGTTTCCAGACCACTCGACTTACGAAACTATTTCTGATTGGGACTTGCTTGCAGTCCACAGTGTTCTATTCTTTGATAGCGTTTTATTTGTGATTTCTAAGTTATTCAATCAACTCAATAACTTGATTTCCTGCATATTTTCCAGGCCAACATTCCTTGTGAATAGTTGCCTTAGAAAATGGCTTCCACAATGGCTGCAGTCTCAAAGGCCAGGCAGGCAGGCAGGCCCTATGCCAATGCCAATGGACAACCTGTTGCAACGCTACCAACCCCACCGGAGAAGTCAAAGTGCAAAGCTCAACTTTTATAGTGACTGAGCGCTTAGCCTCGTAGTCCGGGGCGTAATCCCTCACCATCCGGGCGGAAGCAGAACGGAACTCATTAAAACGGCATTAGCATGCAGGTCGCTTTTTATGTCGAGTGATCAAATTAATATGCCATGAGGAGTGGCGGAGCCGAGAGTAATGCCCACCCACCCAACTGCTACGCCTCGGCATGTGGCACGGTCATTGTCTAGGCCTGGGGGTGGTGTTGTTGTGCAACGGGTTTTAGGGGACGGACTGACACTGCATTGGCGCCACCAGAAAAAAGGGTACCTGGGGGGTTGGGCGTGTGGGGATAGAGGTTATACGCCTCCGTTTGCCGCCTACGTCGGCAACAGGCTGTTGTTGCTGCTGCTGCTGCTGTTGCTGGTGCTGGTGGAGGAGCTTTTCTGTCCGAAATCCCCAGCCCACACACAAAAGGAAGACCAGCGCAGGCGCCTCGCTGACACACTAACACAAATGCAAGGGACAGGCGCAGTGTGTGGCACTAAAACGCTGGACTGTGTGGCGGAGCAGGGATTCCGTTCGGTTCTGGGCACGAAAGTGAAAGCTGCGACTTTCAAACTGTTGCGTCGTCCAGGCAGGGATTCGGGACTTCGAGCAAAATCAATAGCAATCAAGTTTTGGGCCAACAACCAAACAGCTGTCAAGCCAACCTACGTCAAAGGGAGACATTGTTGTTGCTCTGGAGAAGCTTTTGGAACTGACTGCGGTACAGTTTTCAGAGTACATTGGTGGCCACAGCCAGTTGGGAGCATTAAAATTGATTGAGCTGGAGGCTTGATGGGATATTTCCAAGAGAAAAGTTTTATATTTCCTATGCGTTGTGTGGGCTTAAGAAGGTGTCCTCACTTTTTCGGACACGACTGTATGACAAATGACATTTAAACTTCACACACACGCGCCCACATGGGTAAAGCTTTCAAAGCTTTTGCTTTAATAAGTAATGCGTGTGGTGTGCTTGCCCTAACCTACAGCACTCACACACACACACTAACAGTTACGAAAGCGAGGGAGGGAGGCAGGGATGGGAGGCCCTAAGCGAAATGCGTAGGAATTTGAATGCTTTTTGTTGTATGAATTGACTCTCACATATGGGCGAGTGCGCGTGTGTGTGTGTGTGCTTGTAACTGAAACTCCGAAGACCGCGACCGAGACACCGACACCGACAGAGACAGCGACACAGGCGACCGAGACCCCAACAGCCAAAGCTGCCTCCAAACGAACGGCTTTTTCAGTAGGACAGGCAGTCCTTCGGCTGACGGTCAAACGCGAGCGACAAGCAAGACAGTGGGAGCAAAGATATAACAGCAGTGGCAGCAGCAGCAGCAGCAACGAAACAGAATCGAATCCAACAGTGGCAGTGGAGCAGAGCGGCGGAGCAGTGTGTGCAAGAAAATCAAAAAAATTAAAATGTAAAGACCGCCCCCTACCGCCCCAACACAAAATGGTGTTATATACCAAAAACAGTTAATAATATTTAATGGAAAAGCCAAAAAGCAAACCGAACAAATATGGCGACATTCGAAAGAAAGCTTTTTGATTCCGTGACAAATTCCATTCCCTCCAGCGAAAAGTGTGCGCTGTGTGTGTGTTTTTCTTTATTATTTGGTGAAAAAAACGAAAATTTGACACTGAACTTCATTAAAAAGACTCTTACATATATGTATATCCGTGTTGGCTTGTGTGTGTGTGTGTGTGTGTGTGTGCGGACAAAAGCAGTGCCACAGACAGGATGCTATTTAAAGTGACAGCCCAGAAGCATGCTACAGAAAAACACCATATGCTGGGGACACCAGCCA